GCTGCCTTGAGTAATAGAGTACAACAGAGACGACATAAGAGGATTTCTGAGGCTCACCTAGATTCCATCGGCTGGAACATTTGCTTTAGAAATGTAGTTGCTATGTAAAGGAGTCCAACTACCCCCAAAACTGCCATGGGAGGAAGGCTACACGGGGGGAGTCATAGGAGTGCTTTGGTCATAGCCCCAGCTGAGGCCCCAGCTGATGGCCAGCATCAACCACCAGGTAGTTCCAGCTTCTAGCTGAGTCTTCCCAGCTGGGGCCAGACATCCTAAAGCAGACGGAAGCCATCCCCAGATTCCGTGAGCATGATTAAATGGAACTGCTAAGATTTAGGGTAACTTTTACACTTCTCCTCTGCTCCCTTGATAAGCTGGCTTGTCCACAAGGCCTTGGAGGAGGTGTTGCTCAGCCCTTCAGGTGGGGACGAAGGAGGTAGGGCATTGCGGTGGGGGACACCTCTAGGCACACTCTCGTACCTTTCAGACCTTGAGATTCAGAGAAGGTACTTCTTACTCCCCTGGAGGGCAGCACCTGGTTGCCCCTCTGGGGGAACTGCCAGGCGCAGGTGCTGCTTCTGTTCCCCTTTCCAGAGGCTCAGCATGGCTGTGCAGGGCCCGTGGCAATGGCTTATTCCTGTTCCAGCTCCTCTTGCGCCCTCTGAGGCTGAGGCCTGAAGAGGGGTTACGATGCCCCTATCTCCGAAAATAGAGCAAGAAGAAAGGCAGCACCACTCAGCTGGAGCTCTGTAGACCGCATAGCAGCAGGGCTTGTCCTCTACCTAGAGGCCGCAGTGTGGGCCGGGTGGGACTTGGGGACCTGCAGGCTAGAACTCTGTGTGGAGTCCTCTGCCAGGCAGGCTCCTGGTAGGTGGCTTACCTGGTGGGCAGCTGGGCCAGCTGTTCCAGTTCTTGCTCCATATGTTCCTGCAACTCACTGGGCCTCAGCAGGACCTGGCAGATGGGGCAAATAGGGGCCTGGCTGTCAAACAAGGCTGCTGCCTTTTTCTTACCTGGTGGGGGAAGAAGAAGAGACACACATATAAGCTGGACTAGTCTGTGGAAGGAAACCCAGCATCTCAGTCCTCTCATCCCAGTCTGCTGTTGCCTCCTTGACCTGCAGGAGGGGTGAGCCTGAGGGTCTCCGTGCCCCTGAGTGTCACTCTTCTTTGCAGCTCCAGAGACAGTGTCCGTGACGGTAACTCCACAGCCAGCTGCCCCTCTGAGAAATCTATCGGGACACAATCAATGCTCTGTGCAATCAAACCTTGATCACTTCATTTCACACAGTTAGTGGGGAAGGTCTTGGTTTAATCATACCATCACCCAGAACAGCCAGTGTCCCCTGATGCTCCTTTCCACACCGCTTACACACTCCCCAAATGGAGAATGAAGAAAAGAGGGAGGAGAGGGTTCATTCCTCTAGTCGCTTACCAGACACTGTCTGTGGACTGTGAGCCACGCCCAGTGCAGAGCAGTGATACATGGGAACTGACCTAGTCCTGTCTGGGAGGTCAGGTGATTGGACAGACTGAAAAGGACCCCGGGGTGTACAGGGTAGCGTTTTATCCACTTTTGTTCACAGCCTGTTCTCATCTGCATGCTGGACCATCTTGCTCCTGCTTGCGGCACTAACTCCCACCTCCGTCCTGCTCACTCTAGAGTCTGTGTCCCTGCCCTTGATCCTGCCCAGGCCCTCTAGCCTCCTAAAGCAAGAACCTAGTGGACACCAGTGCCTGGACACTGCACAAGAATCAGAGACTTAATTGTTCAGAACTGAGTTCTTCAGCTGCTTCACCTTTCCATACCTGCACCTTCTTCAGCAGCGTCCACCTCAGGTAGTAGCTTTGTATCCTCACAGTCCCCGGGTCAGTAGCCTTCACTGTGCCCTGGGCCCCGCTCCTTGCCTTGCCACCTTCCCCAAGGCCTGTCCTGCTTCTCTGGTGTTCCTGAATTCTGCATTCTCAATCTGGCCTCCCTACCTCTCACTCAGATAACCTCACTGGCTTCTTGTGGTCCTTTTCCTCCAAAATACCCTTCAAGCTGTATATTCCCAGGATGTGAACATATGTAAGTGTAGTGCAGCTGTGATGGCTCAGGGACTGGCTAGGAGTCTGAACTCTGTCCCTGTTCTGTCACTGATGGTAGCAGAACATACCATGTTAGGGAGGAGTCTGAGGTGCCTGGTGCACCCCTCTTTGGGTGTCTAAGCCCTGTCCTGTACCCAGTGCCTTCCTGGAGTCTGGTTTCAGAGAGGTTAAGAAGCTCTATTCACCTAGAAATATATCTGCCTACTTTAGCTTAAGCCCAGGTCTTTCTCCCAGCTTCTTCTTCCTACTGGTGCCTGGAGAGAGTCAAAATCAGCTTTCAGAGAGAGAAGTGATGCCAGTGATGACCAAGGTGGGTTGCTTGAATAGGTTTGCCGAATTAAATGGAAAATGCTCAGTTATCTGAAATTCATACATATATATACACACACATATATATTTATTATTTACCTGAAATTCAAATTTAACTGAGTATTTTCCATTTATATATATACACATATATATACGTATATATATACACACACATATATATACATATATATGTATTTTTATATATATATACACATACACACACACACACTCTAATTGCATATTTATATATCCCAAATATACTATGAGGCACATACTAAAAGCCATCTATATTTTTCTAAATTTCAGCTTTATATGGATGTGCTGTACTTCCATTTTGCTCAATCTCTATCAGCCCTATGCCTGGGGGCACTCCCAGTAGGAAGCACAAGAGCTCCCCTCCCTTTGACATGAGATTGGGGGTGACCATGGCTCTTTTGGATGCCCTGATGAATTCATCTGAGAGCTCAGTGGAGGGAGATCAGTCTCAGCATGTTTTTAAGGAGTTGGAAAAGGAGTATGCTTAACTAAAGAAGTGAAATTTAGGTGACATCTTAGAAGAGTTCCAGGGAAAGCATGGGAGTAAATGAATGAATGAGTGAATGAGTCATGAGTTCCTGTGGGCAGCGACCATTTCTTTTTTTTTTTTAAAGATTTATTTATTTTCACATACAGAACTGGGGTACAGGCCAGAGGTGCAGGGCGGTGAGAGGCTTCACCAGAGACAGAGTGGGGAGCAGAACAGGCAGATCGATGAAGTACACTGCTGAGGGGAGCAGTGGGCGGGTCAGGAGAGGTCTGCCACACCATGTGGTCACCTCCGGGGCAGGCGGGGATCGAACTCATGCTGCAGTGGCTTTAGCTTCTTAGTGCAGTGCTTTAACCCGCTGCGCCACCAGGGAGGGCCGGGGCCATTTCTTAACCGCCTTTCTGTACAGCTGTAAACAACTGAAAGCAGACTGGCTGCTCAATGATGCAGCAAAGAAGTGGAAAGGAAGCAGAGAGTTCTAGAAGCTAGAGGACCTTTACAGAGCTGGGATCAGGTGTGGAGGCTTTGTGTGTGCTGGGAGGGGGCTGTGGGGCTAGTCTGTGTGGCTAGGTTTCTGGTGGGGGAGAGGGGCACCTGATGACCCTGTGTTTTAGCGGCTGTGCCTCGGGTGCTCAGGGCCAGCTCTGTGTAGAAGAGCAGATGTGGCTGTGGCCTGTGGGTTGGGAGATAAGGATGCTGGGCTCAGCTCTGCTCTTAACTTCGCTCAGCCCAAGAATCTCAGAGGTGACTGAGGCCCTAGACATTCTCCAGACTATGATTTTTATTTTATAGATGGGGAAACAGGCTCAGAATTGGCTAAAGACACCTGTACTTTGTTCTTGATCTCAGTGCTTCATTTATTTATTCATCTAGTGAACATTTATTAGGTGATTATTCTATATCAGTATTTATTCTAGTACAAACTGGAGTTCAGAGAGAAGTAAAACACATTCTTGGCGTCAAGAAGATCACAAACCAGTGGGAGAGTCAAAAAAGGAAGTTGGTGATTCCAGGCGGTACAGCTCTGGTAAGGGCTGAGGGAGGTGTGACAGGGCCCTGGGTGGTGGCAGGGGCAGAAAGGGGCTGCCAGGGGACTGGTCGGGCCCAGGGGAAGGTGATACTTCAGAGGAGGCACGAAAGATGCATAAGGGAGAGTTGGCAAGACTGTTGAAACATCGCTGAGGCAGGTCTGGGGCTTACGTGGGGGAGGGAAGGGTATGAGAAGAGACTGGAGAAGGAGGCGGCTCTGGGGCACGGGGCCTGAGCTGAGGTGGAAAGACCAGGCCTTCAGCTCCTTTCAGTCTAGGTCACCATGTCTGACTCAGGACTTCCTCCCTCATGTGTGGGGACCAGGTATCAGTACCCCACGGAGATGTTCCAGCTCATTTGCTTTCCTGTCACTGGGTGCTTCTAGTTTTCTGAATATAGCCTCGGGTTTCTGATTGGGACAGCAGGCCCTCTTCCTGGCTCTCAGCTTTGGGATAGCACTGGCGAGGGGCCCCGCAGCCTGTGCCCTCCATGCCACCCCCATTTTCTCAGGGGTTAGAGTGGCAGGTGTCAGCATGGCCAGGGGCTGCTTCCCCTCCCCCCGCTGTGTTCTCTATAATTTTATATTGAGACCTGTGGTCATGACGTGGATTTTACTGCACTAACGACATGGCCTGCCCAGGTTTAATGACAAAATCCATACTCTGGCCCTGGGCCTGCTCCTCGTTTGCATAATTCCCAGAATACAGCTCCCTGAAGCTTTTGACCTGGGCCATTACAGTGGCCATAAAATGGGCCATAAAACCGCTGGGGATGGCCAAGAGAAGGGGGGTGGTCTTGTGTTGGGGGGGTGGTGGGAATGAAGTCCTCAACCCCCTACTTTTCTTTGGCCTGGGAGGAGGCACCCTTTGGCTCTTTTCTCCCACAGTTGCCAGAATCTGGGAGACCATCTCAGGCTGAGAGGCCTTTGGAAATACTTAGTCAGGTTGCCCCTCAGGTGCAGGAATTCTTTCTCCATCATTGCAGCCAGTATCACAGGTTGGCAGACCGCGCCCACCAAGGACAGGCTGTCAGTGTGCATCTTCTCCTGGAACATGCCTCCCTGCCACCCCTCACCCCATCCCCAGGGCTGGCCCAGCCCTTTGCCACAGGTGGGTCGAGGTCAGGCGGGCCTAGGTTGAGTCGCATCCCTCTCCAGGAGCCCAGCTCTCTAGGGAGGTCAGGAGCCAGGCTGAGCAGCACAGTGGGGAGACGTGGGAAGCACGAAAGGATGGGGACAGGGACTGGGGCCGCCTGTCAGTGTTAAAGATGATGAATGGGGGAGGTGAGGCGGGAGGCCCGGTGTTATCGGTGGTGGATGGCGGGTGCGGGCGCTCGCCGCTCCTGCTAATCCCCGGGCGCTGCCTCAGCCCTTGCACTGATAACGAGGAAATGGGACTGACAACAATTTTTAGCTGAGAGATTCTTCACCAAAATGCCAGGCGGCCGGAGGTCTGACAGCGCCTGATTGAGTGTGTGAGTGTGTGGGGGGAACGCCCGCAGCCCCCTCCCCTCCCATGCAAAGATGGATCGCTCATTCTGCCTCCCGTCCACATTCATTACCGCACCTCCCTCCCGCCACCCCAGTGCCTGAGCACCTGCCACCTCCACTTCTCTACCTTCCTGCTGCAGGTATCCCTTGAAGCAGGAGAGCAGGAGTTGGAGGATGGGGCCCTGACCTCTCCTCAGCTGGACACAGGCACCTCAAGTTCAAAGAGCCAGGCAGTGACTGTGCAGAGTCAGGGTCAGGGTGGAGAGTCAGGCCTGCTTGGAGGCTCTCTAGTTGTGTGACCTCCAGAGGATCCCAATCCCCCCATGATACAGGAGGCTCCAGCTGGTTGTGGGCCGTGAGGCTGTTGTGGCGAGAGGAGAGATCAAACCAGGTAGCCTTGTCCTTGCCTTGGCCAGGTTCTGGCCAATTCAGCCCTCCAACTTTGGCCTCCAGTACCTGAGTTCCCAGATCAGCCCTCTGCTGCCCCCCACTGTTGGGAATTGCTGACCATTGGAGCAGACAACTCAAGGGCCATCTGCCTGGTCATTGGAGGATGGGGGTCTCAACAAA